ATCGGTGACCTCCAACAGAATATTTTATCTCTAGTCTCGTAACAACACACTTTCAGCAAAAGTTATTGCAGGGTTAGTAGTCATTTTGAATGCTGTTTCGACTGACATGTGGATAATTAAAAAAAAAGTTTGCCGGCGGACGGCCTCTTAGCACGTAGTTCGGTTTTCTGGCGAAGGCCCTCTTAAAATCTAAGAAAAATGCTTGGTCACTATAAGTACGATGTATAAAACAGTTATTGGCACCTTACTGTAATCTTCAACTATTCCACATTATTATTAATGCCACGAACATACATAAAGAAAGGCCGAGGGCCTAGTTATTCCAAAGATGATTTTGAAGCTGCTATTAGGGAAATTTCCAATGGTGGTGATATCCGTGCTGTCGGCAGAAAATACAATATACCTTTTTCGACTTTACAGCTTCATAACGCATCACAAGCCGCCCATCTTGGTGCCGGACGTTCAACACATTTTACCGACATTGAAGAGATATATTTAGTCAATGCTGTAACTGTTTTACAAGTAAGTTCATTTTTTTTGCTAAATATTTGAATTAAAAACTTCTTCTTTCGAATAGGGATGGGGCGAACCCATAACACCGAAAGAATTAGTTAAAATTGCTACATCTTATGCAAAAGAACTTGGAAAATATAAAACATTTAAAAATGGACAACCCACGATATGAAGTTTGTTGATTCATGAAATTATAGCAGATGTTTTATTTTTCCATTTCATTCAGGCCCTACTGGCGCCGGTTATAATACGAGTGCCAATGGATGGATGGAAGATAATGTATTTTATGAATGGTTTAAGAACATGTTTCTGCCACTAACCTCAACAACACCAAAACCAATTTTGTTAATACTAGATGGACATACTTCTCATCGTCGTGTACGTACAACTGAATTAGCTATTAGCAATGGTATTGTTTTGTTATGCATTCCACCACATTCAACTCACATTTTCCAACCTCTCGACGTCACATTTTTTAAACCAATAAAACAAAAATATCGTGAGATTTTAGCTGAATATTATGCAGCATCTGGATATGAAAAGGTATCAAAAAGTATTTTTCCATCACTATTATTAAAATTATTTCAATCAACGGCGATTAAGAAAGTCAATATTATTAAAGGTTTTATTGCAACCGGAATTTATCCATTAGATAAATCAGCCATTCCTCCACAAAAAATATTAAAATGTAATCAGTTAATTGAAGCTGATATTGCTGCTGCTGCTGCTGAACAAGAAACGGCTGACACAGAAGATGATGAAGAACCACACCGAACACCAAGTAAGTTCTCGGAAAGTTTTGATAAATATCACAATTGAAAATTACTTATATTTAGAGAAAAAATCGACAATATCGGCAACAATAGCTACGACACCTGTTCCAGATTTAAATACTAGTGAATGGGATAAAGATACGTCGATGTTGCTGAATGATAGTAGCAGTTTACTTCCACCACTCAATACCAGTGTTTGGGATCATAATGGTAAGTATCCAGGAATTACTTGTAAAAGACTTTCATCATCATTTTCTCTTTATTTTTAGCTACTATTCGTATGGACTTATCTAGAGCATCGGAATCTACAATCGAAGTGGCCACAACATCATTACCTTCATTGGGTCCTCGAGCAGCAATTTGTAATGCTCTTTTGTCCATGCGTCCACCGGTCATTGAACAGCCGCCAACCAAGAAGGTGGTTCTTGATCGTCAAGCAGGACAACTTTTAACATGTGAAGAAGCATTACGTCAGATGAGGGAGAAAGAAGAGCTAGCAGCCAAGAAGGTGAAGCCAGTTCAGAAAAGGACATCAGTGAAACAAAAAAAGAATTCCAAAGCAAAGAAATTGTCCACAATTGAAGATGGTATGTTATGCTGCCTGATATCTTAGCAAGTAAT